AATAACTCAATAATAATGTACTTTAAATTGTTATAGGGTGGATTAAAGGCTGCTATCACTGCTGATGTGATTCAGGGTTTGCTAATGATTGCAATCAGTCTTGCTGTCATTGTACAAGGTACAATTGATGTGGGAGGTGTCAGTCCACTAGTTGAAGTTAGCAGCGAGCGTGGCCGACTTGATTTCTTCAAGTGAGTTCTGTTTCATTCTAAATGCGTGCTTGTGCTTTAAAATAAGAGTAAATTTAACTAAGCTGACATCCATTTATTTCTCAGCTTTGACATGGACCCCACAATTCGAGTGACAACAGTGTCTGCGTTTTGGGGCCAACTCTTCATGTCGCTGTCAATTTTTGGATGTCAACAAAACTTTGTGCAGCGTTATGTGAGCATGAATTCCCAGTCTAAAGTTACAAAGTAAGTAAACTGTGATAACAGTGAAGTAATTAGTCTAGTTACCATTTTGTCTCACCTTGACTGTTTCCTCCCACAGAACATTGATGGCCAATATCCCCATCATTATTGTTTTATTCAGTCTGTCATGGGTTGCGGGTATGGCTATATTTGCTAATTATGCTGATTGTGACCCTATGAAATTGGGTTATACATCAAAGATTGATGAAATTGTTCCATTTTTTGTGGAGGACAAATTCCTCTTCTTGCCTGGTGTTCTGGGAATATTTATGGCATCTCTCTTCAATGGTGCATTGAAGTAGGTGTAAATAAAATATCACAAATAAGTACCATTTAATCTGGAGAAGAATTATCTAATTTTAATAATGTTCTTTTTAGTCTTGTAGTTTCAAACCTAAACTCGCTGTCAACCGTTACATGGGAGGATTTTCTTTCCCAAGTTCCTCAATTCAAAAATTTTAATGACCGCCAACAACTTTTTGCAATCAAAGCAACGAGTAAGTAATTTTCATTTTACATGACTGTAATCTTTACTGGAAAAATTAATTTGTTTATCTATTCATTTTTTTCCTTTTTAATCACAGGTGTTGTTTATGGAATCCTTACAATTGGCATTGCTTTTGGTGTAGCAATGTTCTCTGGAGTAATTGAGTCCTCACAGTTAATGACTTCAGCAACCAGTGGTCCACTTCTTGGAGTCTTTCTACTGGCCATGCTGTTTCCCAGTGTTAATTGGAAAGGTGCTGTTGCTGGAATGCTATGGAGCCACATCATTATTCTTTGGATTACATTTGGAGGCTGGATGAATGTAGAAAAAAAGACTCAGCTGTTAGATCTGTCTATTGCTGGTTGTGACAATTCATCATTCAACCCATACATTCGGCCACCTGTCTCTGAAATGTTATATAATTTGACATTATCTAATACGGCTGCAAATTTCACCTATTTGCCAGTAGTGCCAGAGGTGGCAGTTGAAACAGCTCCTAACACGTAAGTTTAAATAGTCAAATAAGTAGTGTAGTAATAATCTCATCAGTTTTTTTGTTTGTTTTGTTGTTTCCTTGCATTACTCAATTTCACCATTTTCAATTTTCAGAGACTTTTTGACATCATTATATTCAGTAACTTACATGTACTACTCACTTTTGGGAAGTGGTATCACTGTGATAGTTGGAGTGCTTGTAAGCTACATAGTTGGTGAGTAGATTTTTCTTTTCTTTCCAAGAGGACTTTGATATCTACCTGAGTATTAGATTTTACTTTGTAATTATATCTGAAAATAATCATTTTTTTTAACATTCAGGAACGACTGAGGAAGATGAATATGATGAAAAGCTTATTCATCCATTGGCATTGAAGTTAAGTACTTATTTCCCTGGTCCACCTCGACGCTACATCAACAACAATTCATCCAACATGGAATCAGGAACAACAGATATGAAATCTCAGGAGCAAAAGATAAGCACTATATCACAAGGAGGTTTTGACATTGCAAAGTACAAAAAGACCAACACAGGCCCAGTTTGATTTATTCTGTAAGGAATCCACTCAAGCTTATTTTATTGTGTACAGAAAAGTGAAAGTGATAAAATAATTACTTAAGTGATATGTACAGTTGCTCATGATAAAGACACTGTTGATATGTGCAATTTTGCTTGAGCATGGAAAAGTAAGGGGGGAGTATTTATGAAATTAGTCACTGAGGTGCCTTTCCTATAATGGTAAGGTAAAACTACAGACTGAAATAGTACAATATAGTGTAATAGAAAAGTAGTAAGTATTAACCTTGTTATTCATGTCTGGCTGCAGGTTCTACCTATAGCTCAAGTATTTTATGTGTACTGTTACCAATAACAATCTGAATGAAATGTTTGTATTGAAACATTGTGGTGAATAATTATACAAGCATGGACAACAACTAAAGAGCTTGTTTCCTTCCAGTCAGTCAAAGTCGAAGTCTGACTTATGACTGACTGCTTAATACAGCTGACTGGATACAAACAAGTTCCTCTATAATGGTGTCTACGGTTATATAATGTCACTATGTTTCAGTTTTGTTAATTGCTGTTTAATTGTTTGATAATGATACAATTCCTTTTCAATTGATAAGTTTTAAGCGGTTTGAGATGTGTTGCTTTGATGTCATTTTCCCCTCTATTACTGTTATTAGTTCTCCCTATTATATAAAGTATTTATCTTGTCATGTGATTGTATATAAGCCAATGGGAAGCAAATGTTATGTATGATACCAAAGTTGCCTTAGCAATATAGATTCTATATAAAAGACCTCATAGCTGTCTCTGCTATTGGTTTCAGCCTTGTAATTAACTTAGATTTTTATATGTGATATCACCACTATGTATAATCATGTTTTAAACCAATGTATGATGTTTTTATCTGTTGTATGACTAGAAATTATTATCTGTTGGACTATTAAATGGCCATTACTTACTCAAGGACAATAAGTAAGTTTTACTTCTATAAAGATGCAATGCATTTTGGTTTTTAATTTTAAAATTGCTGTAATACCTATAATTACACAACATTTTTGCCTTGAGAAAATAAGTATCTAGAATCTTGTAATACACTCACTTCCAGAGGGACCAAATCTTATGTCCTTTCCACACACCCCAGAAAATTTGGTTGGACACCTGTTAGTTTGTATATATTGTCAAGACTTGCTTAAGTCACAGTTGTTCAGAGGCACATTAAAGTACAGGTATGTAATTTTTTAAAGAGTAAAAGACACTCCAAAGATCATGTATTTTTTCTGAATCTAAGTATACCAGTCTGAATAATATTTTGAGTAGAGGCCTAGAATAAAATTATACCACCTTTCAAAATACTGCTATATAAATTGACTCTTCGTTAAAGCCTGGACTCACTGGAAATAAACTGAAGAGGTATTTGATATAATTTGACATTTAAGTACAAAACTGCATCTACAATTCATTGCTGATTCCAATAGAAATAACATTTCGATAGTTTTCATTGACACACAGAGATTAAAAAAGTTGATTAAATCTTAAAAGCACATCCTCTAAATAATTGAGGTACATCTTAGAATCCTACTAGCTTCAAAACAAATCCCCTCTAACAAACCATGACTATTTACACATTTGAGGCTTAGTGTATTACATGCAACATTGAGATGGTATACTTTTAAGGTCTTTTAAAGCAAACAATTTCTGATTGACGGCTTACCCATTACAAATTCTCATGATGATAGAGGTAATCCCCAGGGATCCTTTTTGTGTTCAAGTAAAGCTAAGGATGCATCTGCTATCTTAACCATAAGCTCCCCTAGTTGCTCTGTTGAGTACACCTAGAAGATAGATAGAAAAATGTTGCATTTCAAAAGGAATATAGAGGGAGTTAAGAAACAAAACCATTCCTTCAAATCGATCAGAGGCATAATTACCTTGTACAATTCGTACTGTTCGGTTACCACAAGATCGGATAAGCGGACACATTCAGCAAAGTCTCCCATGTTGAATAAGACAGTGTGAAGTAACAGGACAACCTACAAAATTTTACAAAGTAAAACAAACAATAGAGATCTGAAGCATCTGAATTGAGTTCACAAGCATCAGAAATGGCACACATAAAACTTACTTCAGGAATACACTGTGCTCGAAGATAATCAAGTTCTTTCTTTCTTAACTTGTCCTGGTCATCTTCATGAGACATTAGTTCTGTCGGCTCCACAGAGCTCATAGAGTCTACAAGCCATCCACCGGCCGGGAAAAGTAGTACATTGTATAGTAAAGATCTAACAGTCTAGAAGAGAAAGCAGAGAAGTGGATAATCGATCATATAAAATTAACTTCTATACTGATGAGGAACTGAGGAGTCAACTGACCTTAGTTTGACTCTGCATTGTTTGCTTCCAGCGGTCTAGTTCCCGTTGATACACCGCAATGCGGTGATCATATGCTACCCTCTCCTGGAATGTTGCATTCTCACCAGGATCAGTTGGCTTGTTTGGTTTAGCATTGTGAAAATGTTGATGCCAATCAGAAAAACCATCCTTTGCATCCTGCAACAGTAGATTTAGCTCTTAGCACCTGCTATAACAAGACCCACCCAAATCATTCAAAAAGTAAGTCCTGGTATTCTTACTAAATAAGCTTTGTAACAGAAGTATTCTCTAATGGAAGCAGCCACCCTACGAGGCAAATTTTCTTGTAAATTCACATCTATTTCATCAGCCCTTACTTGAAACTCTTCAACAATCTTAGTAATAGAATCAGACGGTATCTACAGATTAGAGAAGAAAAATTATTAGAAAAAAAATGCCCATATTTTTTTTTTACAGGTGATTGGAGGAATTATTTTTAATAATTTATATGTACCTTATTGAATGCCTTGGTGGTTGCATCTATCTTGCCTGCAGCAAGAAAAGAGCGCATGAGTGCATTAGCTTGCCAAAGGGCTTCAGCTCTTTGGGCTGGGTAAAAGACAAGCCAATCTAGAGCAGATATCTTCTTTAGATCACTTGCAGTTGTTTCACTTGTTATAAGACATTTAGTTTCCTGTTTTCTGTAAAGACATTTGTAAATTGAAACATAGCGCAGATTGCCGAGGAAAAGACAAAAAAAAACTAGATAGCACACCTTATCATTTCTACAACTGTGGTAGTAATGGTTTCAATATCAAGACCAGCTTCTTCAGCTTCTGCTAGACAAGCTTGTCTCTCTTCGTCATCAGTTACTGTAGCCAAAAAGGACGCATAATTGCTGATCTGCTCTTCTTGAGGTAACTGTGCTACATAATGAGCAACCAGCCTTGGTTCACGTAAGCCAATAAGGTACTGGAATTTCAAGGTAAGTAAGTTGCCAATCATACATAATTTGGATTATAAACCAAAAACAAAATAACAAAATTTACCTTCACATAAGATTGAATGACATTGTCACCAGCAAGATCACTGTGGCCTAACAATCTAAGAACAAGAACTAAATGAGCAAAAAATCGAAGCATCTGAGGTCCACAGTCCATTGACCACTCTTCCATTCGATTTAGAAGTGGACCAATCTTCTCAAGGATTAAAAGCTCTTGAACTCGGTGATCTGGCTTCGAGGCCTCTTCTCTGCAATTTTGATGTTTACCCAGTTGTTCAAAAATTTCTTCAAGAGTGAGGCTGTAAAAAAACAAATAGGAAAATAAATGAGGGTACTATATGATTTTGATGTGGCATTCAGTGTTAAGTGAAGTAAATATTACTAACTCTTTCTGCCAGTACTTTTCAGGCATTTCTGCATATTCTCTGTTGAAACCCAACTGGGAACGTATTTCTGTTTCCACACGGATATCGACAAGAACTCTTAAATGGGCCCATAACACATCCTCCCATTTTTGGCATACAGGCAAGAGGGCATCTAAGTTGCCACACAGAACTCCTTGGGTAGCTCTGGTATAGACTGGCATTTTGTAATCTTCTGACATTCGCCAAGCACATACTTTCCACAAATCTCTGAAAATTTACATTGAATTCGAATATAATAGACTACTATGATATCTTTTTCATATCAAATCGGAGTGGAAAGAAAGCAGTACCTGTTGGGATTTCCTTCAATAGGCATTTTACACGACACTGATCCTGCTGTGGGAGCGGATTCATAATTTGGATCATGAAGAAGTCTCCAACCTTCCAGCACTGCAGCCCTCCAGGGTTGACCACAATGACAACAAAGGGATTGGGCAGCATCCAGGCGTCCACATCGAATCTCAACAAATATTTGATGCATTAATCTTGCTTCATCTTCCTATGAATCAAAGGATACATATATGTTGTTGGTATCAAGCACAATACATAATAATAAAGAATACAGTAAAAGGATTATCAAAAAATATCCGCCATACCCAGTCCAAGTCATGAAGAGATCGGTTTTCCCTGATTGGAGCATCAGGATCTAGTCGAGAAACAATACTTTTGGTAGCACCATAAGCAATGGTGGAGTCTCTTTCCTTGTTCATTTTCAATTGCAGGAGAGTATTCTCCCATGCAACAATTTTATCTGTGAAATGACCTATTTCAGGACCGCCAGATTCAACTTTGTGGTCTGCAGCACATTTTTCAAGCCAATCAATAACAAGCTGACACTGCAAATAATGTCGTGTGTTAGATTCAGCTAGCAAAGTAGAAAATGTAAATTTGGGAATGTGTTAAAATTAAATTACCTCTGTAACTACTGGGTCATTCTCATACAATTGGTTTACAACATCTTTTTCACTGAGGTGTTGCTTGAGACTTAAGCTATTTCTACTATCATCCTCCATTAGAGTACATTGACCATCTCCTGGAGAATCTAAGGCAGCCCGATGCCTGCTGCTCAGTCTGTTCTGATATAAGCAATAGAGAAGCCCCCATGTATTCCGCTCATTTCTAAGCCAGAGAAGATCCTGGGGAGAGTGGATTGAAATTATAGAAATAAAAACTTATTAATATGCTAATTACTTCTGCCTGGATACTTAAATTTCTTCATTCCAGAATTTTCACTCACCTTCTGATCTAGGCCCTTTTTAGCACACTCTTCTTGAAGCACTTCAAGAGTATCAGTGCAGTTTTGAATGAAATCTCCAACAATTTCAAACACTTGTTGTTCAGACCCATGAGTAAGAAAGCTCTCTAAGAATTGAATGTGCAATCTATCCCAGGCTGTAGGTTGTAAATTCCTATTATTAAAAAATGTATGAGGATGTGGAAACAGCCACCAAGAGCAGATATACTTACTATCAGTCCAATTTCCTTGTGACAGAGTCTTTGAGAGAACAGACTGATTCCCAAACAACTCAAATTCATGAGGAGCAAGAGTTATGGAGACATCATGAACCAATTGAGCATTTTGGGGTAGAGGACGACGAGCTGCTGGGGCAACACTGAGTCGTCCACTTGCCATACCAATGATACTTGCATCAAGAGTATCATCTAGAAATAAACAGCATTGAAATTACTTGTAATGAAGTTTTATAGCAAATAGTGATGCAAAATGGATCATGTAAGAGAAGATTACCTCTGGCGTTGGACACAGTTCTATTGTACACTGATGTTGACTGACTGTGAGACCTAATGGTGCGTTGAGAGCCATGCCCAATTCTTGGCGAGCCTCTAGCCGTAGAGTTGGCAAGAGCACAATCAAGCAGCCTCAAAGAACTATCAAGATCCCTTGGTTGAGACATTTTGAAATGTATAAGATATTTACTTTGTTGTCATCAGGGTCTGACCTGAAAACATCAGTTTCATGATCAAAAGTAAATTCAACATACCTCATTGAATTCAAAACAAGATCAGAAACAGGATTAGTGTTGATGTAAACAAAGCTTTACTGATAATGGTTAATTGATGTCAATTCATTGACAAACAAAGAAAAGGAAATTTCTAAGAAAAATAGTTGAACAATAGTTTTGCCAGTTTAAGCAGCTCAAATAAATCGGGACTTAAGTTACAAATGCTGAGAGGAGACCATTCTTTTTTTGAGGTTACTCTATAGCCCGGCGTTGACTGATACAAACGCATTTGTATACAGTTTGTAGTTTACTCACCCATTAAATTGCTGTTGGCAATGTAGATTTCAGATAGTGTTGGATTCACTCTAAATAACTGTAAAAATATGTAAAACTAACGAATTGCTTTGAACGCGCGCGTTGCGGCTTGCGGCTTGCAAGAACAAACTGGGTCTGGGTATGAGAAATCACTTTTTTTGAACAGAAAACAAAGCAATGTCGTCGACAGCAGACAACAACCGAAGAATGTGACAGCCCAAACTCACGTCAAAAGCAAACAAAATAGATTAATTAGACCACTTAAGCAAGACAAGATATCGTTTTCTAAATCTTTTGTAGGTTTATTACTATCATTACGTTGATTTTCATACGTCATTTTTTAAACTGGTAATATTTCTTGTAGCTGTCTTTCCATGGTTGGTTTGAGATAATGTGGTTTTCTTTCAGCTATATCATTCAATGTTTGGAAAGAGACAACAAGAACGACGCTCACAAAAAGTAATCTCCTGCTGAGATATACAATGTAATTCAATTAGTTGTCTCGATTCGCCAAAAATGCCTTTCTTCAAAAAGAAAGGAAGTGATGACCATTTTTACAAGTCTCGCCTTGAACACAAGCTTTATCTTGTGAGTGTTCCTTGTCAACTTGCTTCATCCTACAACTTCAACATCGCTTGTACATAATACGCGCTTCCATAGATATCCTAACTCATTTTTGCTGAATTTTCAGGCAAGGGAGAATCCAGAACCATGTTTTGATCTTTCGGATTGTGCCTTAAGAGACGTTCCGGCAGGAGTATTTTCTTTATGTAAAGTATTCCGTAAAGAGTCCTTGTATCTGCAGGTAAATGCAATTTTCTCCTAGCTGGTTATACTTATGTTATATTCTGTACTCTGATTCAAAATGGAAAATTATTTTCAATTCCTCTCTTTACATTTTTCAGGACAATCAGTTGTCTTCGCTTGAAGGAGGTGGAAATGTGAAGGATCTTGCTATGTTGACAACTCTTGACCTTCAAAACAATAACTTTTTATTTTTACCTGAAAGCTTCGGCTTTCTAATAAATATTAGGGTATGTAGATTCAACCAGTTATTGTGTTGAGACCATGGTGGATTGATATTCCTATTATTTATATCCAAGAAGTAATGTATCTGGTTCATGTGCTATGTTTTTTTCAGATGCTATTTCTGAACAACAATAAGCTTAACAGTTTGCCAGATTGCTTTGACTCTCTGAAACAACTTCAGGTTTTGGAAGTTGCTCAGAACAAATTGAGATCCATTCCTTTATCATTGTGCAAAGCACTTCATCTTACAAAATTGGATCTCCGTGAAAATTCTGATTTAACGTTAAGGAAGTTACCACCAAGTATAATAGAGATGCCTATGCTGGAAACTCTCTTGATGGATGAATCACAACTGAGCTGTGTCCCCGAAAACATTGTTGAAAAGGGCACCCGAGGAATATTGTCATTTTTTGCTGAAGGTCTGCAATCTGATAGGTTGTTGCTTAGGTACTTTTAATTTGAAGACATTGTTTAGGAAATTAATCTATCTTACTTTTATAGAAAATGGGCTTGAATACATTCCACTTGAAGAGCGACAACTTCCAGAATCTGCAGATGAAGGAAAAGTTGTCAATGTATTTGATACTGAAAAACAACAACGAGGATTCAAGGTATGAAATTATTACATATATTTGCTTTTGATAGCATTTGGCCAAGGCTTTGTGCTTTCCAATTTCCTAAAGCAATTAACAGAGCACAGACAGGAAACATTGATATATCACGCAAAAGAGTTCTTGCACTTTCCTGGTCAGTTTGTATGTTGTGTGTTTTGTGAGATGTGTGTCACTTCATTTGTTGTAGGAGCGACTCCATCAACTAGACCAACTCAAGGCATGTTAAGTACAGTGCTAACTATCCACTGCTTATTTTGTTTCCGTTACTTTCTGTAAGGGATGTGTATTGTTCACTTAATTATGAGAAGCATCACCTAGAACAATTCACTTCTTTTAGAGTTTGCTTATGATCTTTATTTTCTTATAAAACAAAGGTTTGTAGATTGTATGTCAACATTTCCTTAAATTCTGACTATGCTTCCCTGTTAAACATTTTATAAATTTTGCGTGTGGATTATTATTTTTTAATTCATGCGGACTGTAAAAGAGGTAACTTTTTTGGTAGCGCCAATTATTCTAGGAACATTCTCTAAATATTCAAAGAACTGAAAGAATGTTTCGGAAAATATTCTAACCAGCCCCTTTGTTTTTCTTTTTGATATTTACGAAGTGAACTGAAGAGCTTTTTCAGGACAGCAAAGATGCTTCTCTATAAACTTCTTAAGTAAAATCTGGAGAACAATTTCAATCAACTTTCTCAAAATCTGTTTGCAAAACATGATCTTAGTACAAAAAGTCTCATATGTTAAATCTGAAGGATTTGTGTTTGTGCTCTTTAAGTTCCAAGTTCAGCACTTTGTTTGCACTTTTGTGTACTATGTGTGGTGTATGCACTATCAGGCACAGAGACAGAGAGAGAGAATATTGTTGGAAGCAGATCGTGGCGAAACACATCAAAGAGAATTTGAGGCACGCTGTGCACTGAAAGAGAACCGAGGTCGGGTGAGTTATAGAGCATTTCAATTCTTGTGTCATGCTGGAACACAACATCATGATATGTTGTATTCCTTCCAATCAAAAACTGAACGTTTCAAATAGTATGTGTATGCTTTTTCTGCAGCTCCTGGCACATTTAGCATTTCAACAATCAAAGCTTGAAAAAGAAGTTGAACGCCTTCAGCAACAACGAGAAGAAGAAAGACGACGGCTAATTTTGCATCTGCAAGAAGGTATGCTGAATTCCATCATGTGCAAATTTAAAAAAAAAAAATTTGTGATAAAAGTATGCTGAACTTAAACTGCTTTTTTCCTCATATGTATAATCCATGTGCAGTGGAACGCAACACAGATGTAATGATCACTCAATTACTCTTACTCTCAGCCCAAGAGAGGGAGCAAGAAAGACAGGAGAAGTTGATAAGAGCTCAAGAAGAAGAACAGGAATTGTTAGCCACCATGCAACAGCAGCAGAGAGATTTACAAAAGCATGATGTTCTTGGTAATATTTCAAAACTATTATATTTTTGTGTCTAATTCTAGTTAATAATACTAATAATAATAAATGAATATAATTTGTAGATGGGATGAAGCAGTTAGTAGAGGAAGAAATGAGACAAGAAAGAATTATGAGGGAATATGAACAATGCCGTGTGGAAATGACCAGTAGTTTACTTTGCAAGTAGGTTTTTTAATCAAATTAAAAATATCATTTTTGATTGCTGATAAGTCACACAGAATTTCCTTTTATTTGTTATTTTATCCCTTCAGGGAACTTGAGTCAAGCAATATGCTCCTAAATGCAGTTGATAGACACAGTAGTGCGCAAATGGAGCTAGTGCAGCGTTTGCAAAAGGACGAAGAACTTCAGCGGGCAGCTGTTTGTTCATTACTTGAACGTAGTGATGCTAGGACATGGGGTTTGGTGCAACAGGTATCCCTTGTGGAGCAACAGCTTGCTCAACTAACTGCCTTGGAGCTGCAGAGGCGGAATCATCAACTTTCAGAACAACTGGTAAGTGCTTTGCCTTCGTTCTCAAGAAATTACATAGTTGGTTGATACTTGTTGCTTTGTGTGTAGTGAATAAATATTGAGTTTAGTAAGTTAAGTATTGGAATATTTTTACAGTCAGATCTAGCAGAAAAACGAACAGCTCTGTCATCCCTGTTGGTTCATTTACTACAAGAGCAGTCACTCCGGCGAGAACAGTTGATTCATACTCTTCATGAAATGGAGCGGCATCGCCAGGTAAAACATTAAGTCAATCATCGTACTTTTATAAACATGCCTTTTCAAACACATTATGTTTCAACACAGGACAGCTCAGACTTTTGGTTGCATCAATATCAACGTCTCCTGGATTCTCGACCAAACAGATTTATTGACAAGGAAAGAGTACTTGATCCTCTACTAGCTAACCATTTGGTTTTAAATGGAGTTGTACACTGCTTGCCTTTTCTTGCTCAATGGATGCATGATCCTGATGCCCTCATAAATGTGACACATGCTCAGCTAAAAGCAGTAAATATTTTAATCATTTTCCCCTCTCCAAAAATTAAACATTAACTTTTATTGAAAACTGATCAAGCAAATTTTTTAAACAGGCGGGCATTAGATCCGATCAAGATTCTTACAATGTTTTGAGAGCATTAGAATTATATGCTGAAGAACGAGAATGTGCTATCCAAAAGCTCTCTTGTTTCAACCCACCAAATCTACCATCTGCTCCAATTGAAGAAGCATCTGCTTTACCAGAGCCATCTACATCATCTGTAGCAGTATTGGAAACAGACGAGAACATTCCCAAAGGCATAATTGAAACAGAATGTGTTATTTGTATGGAAGCTGCTGTGAGTATTGTCATGAATTGTAATAAGCTGCTTGCTGCTCTTTATTCTGTTTCTTCCTCTTCTGTTTTTAACAATGACTGTTTTCTGTTTCAGTGTGATGTGATTATCCTACAGTGTGGCCATATGTGTTGCTGTGCAAAATGCTGTGAGCCTTTGATTAACTGTCCTATGTGTCGTGGGGACATTGAACGCAAAATAAGAGTAAGAGCTGCATAGTTTGCCAGTTTGATTCTGGTGAGTTTCTCTTTCCATATTGTTTCATGTGAAGTTTGCAATATTTACCAGAGCACATTATGGTTGTTGATGTGGTGCATATCAGCTTTTATTAATATGGTGTGATATTCAGTTATGACCTTTTTCCCTTTTCAGTCATGTAGTTATTATAAAGTCAAGTCAAAGTACTAAGAGCTGTTGTTGTACAGAATGTTTTTCTTTTTTCTGAGTTTTTAGCTAGTTTTGCTGTGCAATAATATTTCCCCATAAGAACCAAGCTCTTATAATCATCCTCCTCCACCAGGATTCCTTTGAACTCAAATATTTAAGATATACCTTTAAGTGCCATGCGTGTTTTGTGTCACCAGCCAGTTTTGGCAAAGTCAATACATTCGACCAAATTGTAGATTTTTCCATTTTTACATGTTGATGTTTTATAAAATCTTTGCTTACTTATTCTGTAAGGAATTAGTTTTGGGATTGCTGTTATTGTAAAATGTAAACCAATAATATAACATCACATACTGACCAACTTTTAAATGCTGTGTTCCAACCCTTTCCCTTGGTTGTGTAGTTTTGCTGACATTACAAGTTATTTGTGAAGGTTTTCATTCTAAAGCATAGCACAACTTCAGCCTGGATGATTCATAGTCTGTTATATTTAATATTATTATTGCGTGTATACATTTATCTATATTGAGAGGTGAGGGCATGTGGTTGTCCTTGTAGCAATATGTCTGAAGTCTGGGGGATGATGTTTAAATCACGAACACTGATCACAGTTTGAGAAAGGTTTTCAGATACAGCATCGTTTAGGGTGTGATGTCACAGTCTAACACAAAATTTATTTCACTGCCAATTTGTTAATGGTACTTTTCTATATTTCATTGTATTTGTGATTTCTTTGTTAAAAACACCGTTTTTACTGCAACCGCGTGCGATTGTCATCAAAGTTAATTTTAGTACACTTTTGTGAAGTGTGCGCTCAAAGACTCACATCCTCTTCTACCTTATATTATACCTCCATTATGCAATTTTTCAATCTTTCATACATTTAATTGCTTTAAGTATTTTTAGAGCACTCCAAGCAAAGGCTGTTATTCAAGTGTGATATTCTTATGAAAAATAAATATTATCTTTGTCTAAGTGTTGTCTTTAAGTTTCCTCATTTTCATTTTGGCAAGAATACTCAGTAAATGAAATCACAAATTTGATTTATTTTCACCACACAGCATGAGAAAATGAGATGTACACTATCTATAAGACACTACCTGATAAATATCTTAAATTAAAAAATGAGATGCACATGGTATTATTCACAGATGGCTTCAGTTCTTTAAGAGTTCTGTTCCTATACAATGGTTTTATTCATCATCACTGACAATAACAGCACTAGCGCTATCACTGTCTCCATCAGGAACAGTGGTTGATTGTCTTTTCTCCTCATCTTCTTTAGATTTTGATTTACGCTTTTCAGCATTGGCATCCTTTTTCTCTTTTTGGGCCTTTTTGAAGTCTGAAAAAGAAATGGCTATTTGCTGAAAAGGCACGTGTAGCTTGCTTCGAGTAAAGCCAGTAATCTTAAAGTTTATACGTACTTTCTAGGCATTCCTGTAAGGGTTCCATAAACGCTTCAAAGTCGGTGTCATTAAGAGCTAACATAACATCTTGGGCACTAATGGTTTTCCTGTTGTTTTTAGTGGCAACGTTGTTTGAAGCTGAAGTCAGAAACAGCACAAATATTGAAGCAGCTTTTGCGAGAGCTAGCCTAGCTTCTTTACTGACATTCACTCCGTCTGGTAGAGAATCTTTAATAAGACGAGACACAACCGCGTTGGGCAGATTCAAGTCTTCTACTCGTTCAGCCATAATGTATTATCTAGTGAAAGAAACTTGATAAATAATAAAACTGCTGAAAAATTAACAATCAATAAATAGGTTATAATAGCAGACGCCACCGGCGCTTCATTTCCATTATTGCACAAATACAATTGCACGTGATTCTGATTACTGTAACAAGGTTCTTACTTTTATAATTTGGTAATTACCAGGATGAGTTGAATTCGACAATTCTGAACTATCTGACGTGAGAAAGTGTTCTGAAGTTTCGTGAATGGGATTTTCAACAAGCACACATCCACTGACAACACCAACACAACAGAAAACAGACAGATGGCGCGAAATGTCTATCGAACGAACATCGATGCATTGCTTAGAAAATCTCGAAAGAAGATAGGCAAACAGCAGCACAGCCAACTTCTTTCTTTTCTTTGTTGGCCATTGTTGGTGAATGAAAAGGAAAGGCCGTGACTGAACGTCAACATCAACATAACCAATCGTAAGGGAAGCTGGAAGCTTCTGGACGAAAATCATGGATCTTATTTTTCACGAAAAGGTGTGTGTAGGTCCTGTACAAAATTGTGTGCGTGATCCTATATTGACACAGTGTTTGATGACCCTATGCCATCATGCTGAGGTCTATGTCCTGGTCAAAGTCTTGACTTCACATTTCCATATCAAGTTAAAACTTTTAACGTCAATTCATTGCGTGACATTCAATGTTTTTCATTCGTTTTGAGTCTATCAAGTTTAAATTTCGTACTGCATTTTAAAAGAGAGCATTTTCATGGTTAGGATTAGTCATAGCTGCTTCTCGTCTACTCGACTTATGTTTTTAGGAACACCTCTGAATATTTGAGTCTATTGCAGGAGTCAAAATTGCTGTCATGTCTATATTTTGTTCTTTCCTTGTTCTAAAGCAAGAGGGCTGTCTGTGTGCTCAACACTGTTTGAATGCCCTACTCCAAGGACCCTATTTCACCGCTGTTGATTTAGCAACACTAGGTCAGCAAATGGATGAGCAGGAAAGAGAACGTATGGCTGAAAATGGTGTTGATAGTGAAGAATACCAAAACTTCATACGGGTTTGTTCCTCCAGAGTTTCTCTGAATTTTATAACTACTCATGGTGAGAGGCAATGAACAATTTCTGTACTAATAACAGCAACCATCGGGAAATATGGATGACAGCGGCTACTTTTCAGTGCAAGTTATTGCTTCTGCATTAAATGTGTGGAATTTGGAATTAGTGCCGTACAATAGTACTGAGCCACGTGCACTTACTGCTCAAAATGCCCCTCAGTAAGTAATGTATACAATTAGTACTGTTCTTCTTGTACAGCTGTGCCTTTTTGTTTTGTTTTTTGTTAACACTTCAAATATTTTTCTTCAGAGAAATGCAGGCTTATATCTGTAATTACCATGACCATTGGTTTACAATCCGTCGATTGGGACGTCAGTGGTTTAATCTCAATTCAATGCTGACGGGTCCTCAGTTAATATCAGATACTTATCTTTCTGTTTACTTAGCTCAGTTGCAACATGAAGGTATCTATTTTTTATTTATTTTCATCTACCTAATCAATTCATTCTTGTTGGGTGATGAAGTGCTATGAATTATTTCAAGCACACTGGTAATTACTTTGCATAATATTTTGTTTTAGGATACTCCATATTTGTAGTTTTTGGTACCTTTCCTGACTGTCAGGCACATGGAATGTTGTTAATACAACCTGCTGTGCAGGTATCTCAACCACAAAGAGTAAAAATAGAGAAGTCTCAGGGTTACCGTCTTGGAAGTTCATCTGATGACCCTGATTTAGAAAGAGCTCTTAGCCTCAGCATGGGTCAAGTAAGCTACCTACATATGTGAATCCCGTTGGTCTTTTGTGTTTTTTGCTTACATCAATTAATTTTTATTTATTTTGTTGTCAAAATGTTGTTTCCTTTACTAGATGGTATTAAAATTGAAAATCGTCTGTTTATGTTCAGGGGTCTTACAATGAACCAAATCGAAGTGGTTCAAAAAGTGATGAAGAGGAAGACAATGACCTTCAGAGAGCTCTTCAAGAAAGTGTCAGGGAATCAAAAATAACAGAACCCTTGCCTAGTGGTCCCAAAAATTCTTCTGTGACCCAAGACCAGCACTCTGGAGGGGATGAAGATGAAGATTTGCAAAGAGCTCTTCAATTAAGCCTTCAGCAAGAAAATAATTCATCAGATAATGATTTGAAGAAAGCTTTACAAATGAGTATGGAATGTAAGATAGTTTTCATTTTAGGCTTTAAAAAAGTACAGGATGAGCTTATTACCTTTCTTCTGAACTGATATGTTTCCCCTCTTTTTGTAGGTTTAGATTCGGACTCAACTGCGGGCACTAGCAATACCAACCTTGCTGAAATAAGAGCAAGAAGACTGAGATATTTAGAAAAAACTAATTCTAAAAGTACAAGTTAAAAAAATTTATATTACTCCTTATGTTATGTTTATTTTGTCTTAAGTTTAGTACATCACTGCAATGTAATTATGATCAAATCAGTTTCAGTTTTGTGTCATTTTATTTTTGTCTAGCATTGTGATAGTACCAAAATCTATAAAATGTGTAGATTTAGTTACTAAACTTCTGCCTTGGAGAATGTTGAGAGTTTCATGAGTTTTGAGAAAGTTACTGTGCATACGCTAGAATACCTATGTTTGCTTACTTCTCTATATTTTCATTAATATGAAATGAATTGTAACATTTTAATCAGTCCTGTTTTGTAAAAGTTATTAATCTTAATTTTACAGCAGCTATTTCCTCATGTATGTTTACAGAACTAAACTTCTGTGTGCTAGAACAGACAGCAGTTATTGAAAACAACCAAAATATTGATGCTCACGCGGACTGCTTTCCTGTCTTTATTCGCTTTTTTAAAACACCTACCGAAAGTGATCTATGAGTCATTGAAAATCAAATAATGTGTAGGTCTGTTTCTCTTGTTTTCAGTCTAAATGTTTAATTATATGTCTGCTTATACATTTTTTCTTTTAGTCATTTTATTATCCACCACATGTGTGTACAATATTTTTACTTTATTACAATACCATAGCTATAGAGAGTATATTTTATTGTGATTCAATTCATAACAGATTATTTATTTTGCATCACTTATTCACTTCAGTCAATCTACTTAGTAGACATATGTTATTTTTTTCAAAAGACGCACTATTTATGCTTTATTGGTAAGACAACAGTGTTTCTTTAATTGTTGTCTTGTCTTTCTATTAAAAGACAAATAATATTTTTTCTAAATAGTTGACTTCTTTACTAGGTGTTAAAAACCTACTAAGTTTTTTGTTTGTTTTGTTGTTTTTTGGTGACTAGATTACCACCTAGGAAGTTCCATGCATTTGCCAAACAGAGGAGAAAAATATTCACTCTAAAAATACTGCTGTTTAAGACTTTGATGTGAAATGTTCAAACCACCTATATCGATCTCAGAAGGCAAGCTAGTTTGGGATGAATTGGAGTCAGATCGGACCACAAACTGTGCCCTCACTTGTTGCCTTGTCATATGTGACATATGCCCATTGCAAAATGAGTGAATAGGGACATCACAACGACATTGTTTCAGTTGCAAAAGTATCACAATCTGACAAGTTTGCCTTGAAATGAAATCGTTTTGATCTCACCATTTCATCATTTGGCATTTATTTGATTGCTTTATTCGCCCTTTGGCGTCACCGGGTTCTGCATAAGCAGCCCTGCAGAAGGCTGCCTTCGTTGTGCAGATATCCTGGAGAGACCCGCTTCTTGAAGGGATCATCACCTCAGATCAGGATGCACGCCAGTTGGATGGCCCGATTCCCAACACCCTCCGTTCCCGGACTCGGACACTCTGGAAAGGAAAGTCTTTCAGGTAAGGCAACACGTTCTAGCCTGCGGGGAAGCTCGCCCTGTTAAATTTTATTTCCGACGACATCGTTTCGACGTCGTTTTTTCAACGTCGTCACGACATGAAAGTGTGCCTGAAATCGACGTCCTTTCGAGAGGCGACGTCGGAGACGATGTCGTCGGCAACATTTTCTCACATGGGCCACCTCTCGCCAAGTTTGTATTTTCCTTTGAGTGAGTGAGCCTTACGATACTGGCAGCGAGGGCCGTAGAATCCCGTCCCCTCACACCGGCACTTGTATCCAGGGTCCATGGTCGTCTGACTGCACGCCCCGCCGTGTTGACAGGGTGACTCCCCGCACTGGTTGCGCCGTCCTGGCGACAACAAGACCATCATCAGCCAACGGCGCCCATCCCAGCCGCGCCTCTGCCGCCCGAGCCGAGCCTCGTATACCTCTGATGGCACTCGTGCACTCCTCCTTGTCCGCGTACTGGTACTCGCTACGACAGCCGATGCCGCACACGCAGAGCCCGGCGTGGATGCGGCACCCGGACCTCTGCTGGCCGAGCTCGCAGGCGGGCCGCGTCGCCGCCCTCACCGCCTCGGGCCCGGACCCTGCAAAGACCAGACCGTTAGCGTTGCAAGTCCGCGGCAGTGTTTTTATTTTGAATACAATGTAAGCCTTTTGGGCTGCAGCGGGACAGAGGGGGGG